TACATTTGAGTGTGTTTGGAAATACTATTAGACTTACTCATTAAAGTGTATGTGTACATACAGGTATTGGAAGGTATTTGGGGGAAAAAAAGACAAGTAAACAAATATTACAGAATTGATGTTCATGCTCTCATATCGGTGGATTCAATATAAACATTTTTCTGGCTCACTTGAAAAAAATGTGCAGATCAGAAATGAATGACTAACTGGTGTAATCAGGAACAATAAATGTGTATATAAATGCATGTCTCATAATGCTATAAATGCATAGACTTACTACTTTATGTTAGCCATTTTAGTTGACCATATTCTTGGTCTGAGCTAAAAATGTTATGAAATAATTTTGTACAAATTTTACGTGTGTTTTTAGGCAAATATAAATGTTTTAGCATGGTTTTGGTCATATGTATAGACATATAAATATGTAAATATAAATGTACATAGATATGCATACTCGGGAACCTGCCAGATTTCACCCATGCCACCCAGGTTTGACAAATGGGCCATGGGTGAAACAGCTCAGCTATCAGCAAGGTAGTGGCATGAAGCTATCGCAGGAAACTCTATCTTTACCTAACATTATACCCAACAGTATAAGCAGTTACTGTCCAGTTCTTACAGAAATCACTAAATCCTAAAGCTCAAATAGAGATTTCCTGTTAAAAATGTAACACGAAACAGTCTTGGATGCAAACATGAATCATCTGTCAACCTTAATTAATTGGCTATTGTTCTTTGTTAAATCAAAATACATTGCTTTCACAATAAAAAAAGCAGCAGAAAAACTGCTAAATAAAGCACAGTGTAGAGTGATTGTCATGAAACAAAATCAGAAAAAGATGGTGTTTCAGATATTTATTTTTCTTGTTAAAATTATCTAAACTTCTGGTATACGTGGAGTGACTGTAGTCTGGAGTGGTCACACTTTTCTGTGTTCTGTGCTACACATGAATTTCAACCAGTCTTAATGCTATTTTCTTACACACTGATTCACAAGATGACTTTCACTGTAATGCAGAACACTATGAGGCAGAATTTATGCAAGCATGAAGCTCTACCATGTGAGGGATCCCGACATACAGGGGATTTACTCCTGCAGAAATCGAGGCCCAAAATGGCATCCACTCCTGCACCAAAATATATTTTTTTTATGAAAACATGGAGAATAATGCAGAATACTGCCAAGATGTAGTATTACCTCAATCAGTAGCAAATATAACAAAATGGCAAAATATGGAGACATACAGGATTTATTTCTTATGTGGTATCTGACAACTTATATGGTCAAACATAACATGATTTGGTGAAGGAGGGAATACATGCCTTGACAGACCGATTAAAAGGTCACAGTGGAAGACACAGTATATTACTGTCATGGCAGTTGGCAAACGTATACCTCCTCATCAATTACAAGCCTCACGCTCTGCTCTGATATAGAGGCTAGATCATTGAGCCTAGTAGAAGAAAAAGTATTAAGAGGGATTGTGGAATCCATATTCATTAAGGAACTTCCTAATTTCTTGTGAGAATTACTCACCTTCTTATTTTAGTCTAAACAAGCCAAATGCTTTTTAATTGATGGAGAATATTAGATGACTAAATCTCCTCGAACTTCAGCCACAGCAGCCAGAGATGTTCATCCATTACCAGAATATTTTGGATAGAACCCAATTCATGAACATGGCAATAGAAAAAGCTCTGTTGCTTTTTGAAAAATTTCTATTATCCATTTTTTCAGAATTTTAGCTTGTCTACTCATCAATCATGACAATCCCTAAATCATATTCCTTAACAAGTCAGGGAATCCAGCCTCTTCTATCACTGGGGACTGCCAATTTCATTGTTTGTGGCGTAGAATGACACACAGTTTAGGCTACCCTCGACATCAGAAGCCAATACTTTCTTTCAAGCTCTTTGTTTGGCCACATGGGAACATCCCTTAGCTGAGTTGTCTGCCCATACCTAGAATATTCCCGTTGTGGTTTCCATTACCTTGACGTGTTGTGCGATTTTATGCCAGATATATTTGCATTTTTTTACACTTTAAAAGAGAAAGGCAGTAGGAGGGTTTTCCAGTTTGTATTACTTCATGTATATATTACGTTTCTTTATTTTATTTTGTTTTGTTGTCTTCTCTTCTCCCAGTCCCTTGGTAAATGGACAAGGTCTAATAAGGCCTTGTTAACCATTTGCATTATACCTTGTCATATAATGCTTCAATTCATAGAATCCTTATGTATTTTAAGCACTTAAGCCAGTAGCATTAATTGTACCTATGTGATGTTATGAGAGTATATTTCACTGTCTTTTTCCTTTACTGTAGGGCAATCCCATATTTTCCTGCAGTAATCACTGTATATAATATTTAAAAAAGTGACTGTGTCTTTGTCACAAACATGTTCTTTACTTGTATCAGACTCCTGCAATACTCTGTACACTGTATTGTTATCTGCCATTGAATAAAATTAAAATGAAGAAAACATTTTTATTTAAATTCTAATCTTTGGTCTCATATCCTCTAAAACAAAGCTAGTCCACATGAAACAGATGGTAATCAAGCATGACTTGGAGCAAGATTCAGAAAATACCCTCTGTGCTTCTCTCTTTAGATGCAGAGAAAGATCATTTGTATTTTAAAAAAAGGCCGTACATTTCCCATCTTCTGGAATTTTTTAAAGTACTTCACCTTACTCTTCCATGCATTTATGCTGTATACAGATCTTAATTCCCAGATACTTGCTCCAGATGCTGGTAGAAGCTCTTACGTACTTGGTAATTGTACAACAATTCTTAAATTCATTATTATTTTGGTATATGTATATGTTGATTGTGGAGTTGGAGAATATCCATATATTCCTTTCCTTTTTCTATTTTTCCTTTTTTTTCTGTCCTGTCTTTCTATGCTCAAATAGTCCATTTTATGCTGCTTGATGCTGTTATTTCTGTAATGATTCCTTTGTATTGTGTGTCATCTATCTAAATAAGGGCTTAAAAGGTTATTCATTAAGTGAACATTATTGAGGATTCAAAGTGAATTTCATATTTTAGACAAAAATGGAAGCATAGCTGACTAGGAGAATTTTTACAGTTGAACTATTTTGGCCTAATTTTAAAATACAAATATAAATTTAAATTTTGAAAAAACTTTAAATTCCCCAAAATTCTCACTTTTATAAATGTGGCGGAGCCTGCTCTAGGTCTCTGGACTAACTGGTGCAACACTCAAACATAACCCTAGAATAACCTGATCACGTCCCTGGTCTTTCTACCCTCCATGCCCTTCAGCAAAAAGCGCTCACTTTACATCTATGTGATTACTCTAGAATCCACAAAAACAGAAAAAATGAGGGCAGAGCAAACAATTGCAAACGTGCACACCAAGTGCTACAAAAAGATTTATTTACACAAAGTCATACCTGGGTACAAAAGGTACAAACATTTCAGGTTATGCCCCTTTTCAGTGCATGTCCTTACAAAAACAGAGTGCACTAACCAAATAGACAGGACAGACCATAATTCCCAACACCTTCTTTGCATAATTAAGTAAAGCAGCCGCTCCCGCCATCCCTCCGCCATCTTGGACACTGGATCATATGACGCTCTGTCAGGTTGCTAGGAGATGAACAAAAAACAAAACTAGTAGCAAACAGTCTGAGTAAGCTAGGTATAGAGGCCTCTAAGGGCCAAAAAACATATACAGTGCGACCTCGGTTTACAAACGCTTCGGTTAACATAATGTTTCGGTTTACAAATTTTGTCCCCATGATGCATTGCACCTGGGAGGTTTATAGCACCGCTCCCTGCATGCTGGAGCCTGTGGGTAGCACGTGGCGTAGAGTGTGGAGGTGTTGGAGCGGCTTTTGCATCGAGTTTTGGAGCCGTTCTGGAAATTGTTTGCAGTTGTTTTGGGACTTTTTGGTGCATTTCTCAAGCTGTGGAAAGGTAGGGAGCGGAGCTTTGTCATTTGCATGCCTTTTATTGTGTGTTCTGCATTGTGGGTTGGTTTCCATGCCAGCTCATTTTGACTTTTTTCTCACCTCCAGAAAGGATTAATTGGTTTTCAATGCAGTCCAATGGGAAACCGTGTTTTGGTTTACAAAGGTTTCGCAATAAGAAACATCCCGGAGAACACATTAAATTCGTAAACCGAGGTCCCACTGTAGCACAAAACTTCTATTGGGTTGCATTGGGTTGTAAGCTGTGACTTTTCCCTATGTACTGCAGTAACTTGTCCACCTTTTTCCTGTTTTGTATACAGAGTGTTAAGAGAAATGCTTAAAAGCCTAGTATCCTATTTCAATATAGAAGAGGCGTTCTTTCTCAGATGAGAACAATTCACGTATTCTAGCACACTTCCACTACATACAAACTCACTGGATTAAAGATATACACAAGATGAATTCTTCAACTAACCTAAAGATCAGAATACGAATCCTAGAAGGAACCACTGATAATGGGAAACACTTATGTGGGTCTGTAAGGGGATAAATTAGGTATAAGCTGGCTGCAAAACAGGAGGAACAACAATGAGGGAGGGTTATTGAAGTGGAGTGTTTTTCAAAGTGGTGCACAGGTATAAAAGTAAAGTAATACTAATCATCAATGTAATCTGCCTTTTCATTCTGCTCATTTCCCTGGTGATTGTCCCATTTTCCAAACCACTGCACTTTTATTAAATGCAGGGTACAGAAAAAGTGTGGTAATAAAGTGTTTTCTGATTGAAACGATTGATATATGAGTTAATAGGAAATAGATAGAAAGAACAGACAGATAGATGTACATATATGTATAAAATAATAAGAAATTTAAATTACTATGTAAATAAAAACTAACTTTAAAACATTACATTAAATATAAATACTGAAAAAATTATGAGAATTATAACCAATAAGAAAACAAAAGAACATTATATGTATGACCCCCTATTAAACCAGCCAGATCCATAGTTTGCCCCACCAAACCTGCATTAACCACCTCTATGTGGATGTGGGACAAGATTATTAGAAAATTCCATTAAATCAATTAACAATCCTCCCTCAGCCCAATACTGCAAAAAATACTTTTTAACCCAGGTATGACTTTGTGTGATTTTGTTCACTCTGAAGATAATGACCTCACAAGATACTTTCAATTATTTGCAAATCACTCCATTAAAGATCTTCCACAAAAAAACCCACTTTTACTGCATTAGATTATTATAGGTATTTACAAATTCACAGCTGCTTAGAGTCCAAGTCCAAACGGTCTGTAGGCATGTCCACGTACACTGCCTTTGAGAGGGCAAATCTCAGTTTTCAATCTTTTTATAGTGTACAACCTTCCCTCCAGAGCACTTTCTTACATGTCCACTTGATCTAAAAGACTGGGAAGGAATATGGGAAGCTACAGCTTCTATCTACATTGTGTCTACCACATAGAACAAGCCTATAACATCTTGTTGTGGTGGTATCTTACCCCAATTAGATTGTTCTGAATGTGACATACAGGCTCAGATCTCTATTGGGAGGCACATACATTCACAAGTGATGTTCAGGCTCCTACAAATAGACATCCGCATGGAGCTCTGGATATGGTTGTTAGTTAAACTCTATGAGGAACTTAGTTGTACTCAAATTAATTGGTGGCAAAAATGACACTAGCACCAAGGATAGCAAAAAAACTAGGGAAATCCCACGTAGTAGACATGATGCTACACAAAGTGAGGGATGCAGTGAAGATGGACAGGATTTCAGCCTTGGTCCACGACTCCACTAAAGTTTTCACAAAATCTATGATCCATGGCTACAGAATCCTCAAAATAATTCCTAAATCACATTACTCTTCATAAATCCAAATCCAAAGGCTCTTATTAGCATTAATGAAAACTGATTATAGATGGCCTCTCTCAACCTCACCCCTATTAATAGATCTTTGCTTCCACACTGCTCATCCCTCTTTTACATCGACCACTCGCTTTGTTATTCTAAGGGGCCAAAGATTTTTTTTCTTCTTTTGCAGTTGTAGTTTGGCTTTGTTTCCTTTAAAGGATTACATACCAGTTACTGACAAACCATTGAATCCAAGCTGAGCTGACAAGTGCACCACAAGCATCTATGGCACTCATTAGGGGCACAAGCTACCGTTGCATCGCGATGAGAAACTTGGTTTGGAGAGGGGGAACCCACCCTAACCTAGTATGTCTAAGGAGAAGCAGCTAGAATGTATGCATTCACTTTGTAACACTTACTGTAACAAAAGTATTATGATGAATGTAAACATTTTTCCATTTGTGGAATATGAAAAAAAAGTGTTGTAATCACTGGTTTTCTGATTTCTTGTTACTGTTAAGTAAAGGGCAATATACAGGCCCAATGTTTTGTATGCCAATGAGAATATTGCACAGCTTGGACAATTATTGGCTAATACTGAGATCTCTGCTAGCTCACTTTTTTAATGTATTAATTCTTTTCCTTTTTAGGGTTTCTATGCTGCTGTTTTGCGCAATAAAGGATGATAATATATGATATGAACCTCATGTATTTAATAAAATATATTTGGAATACTGAGTGTTTATAAGTGTTGCTGTTTTGGAGACATGGCCTCTCCCTCACCCATCACAAGCATAGATCTATAAAGCTATGTTCCCTTTTTTGTTAATATCAGTCTTTTCCATGTGTCATGCTATCTCGTTATGAGAGGCTTGCTGTTGCATGTGTGACTTCAGTACTCATTTTCACACTTGTATGAAAGACAGCTGGCCGTAGATTTCAGAATAACAGTTGCATCAACGTAATCTCTATGTTACTCTGCAAATCCCAAAGTAATTCTGTAAGTACTAATAAAATTGCTGCTTGTTTGTGCTGCTCTCTTATTATAGTTTATAAATAATTGAAATTGTAACTGTAACTTGAAATATAGATGGCACTATATTTTTTATCTTTGTAATGCAATAATATGATATAACCGTTCTTTCATTTCACCACCATAAAGATGAGAATTTGAAATTTGTGAATATTTGCTTCCAAATATCTATGTTCAGGGACAATATGTTATTTGATAATGTCTGAACTCTTTTACTTTGTACAGAAAATAATTATTTTTTTAAGTCAATTATTAACAGACTCTGGATTGCACAAAATTGTAGTTTCATATGAGGAATTATAGAGACACCATAGGCACCCATAGGCACCCAGACCACTTCAGCTCATTGATCATTCATCCCTCACTTACCTGATCTATAGACACTGCAATGTTTTAACTGCAGTACTAAGACAGCCTCTAGTGGCTGTAAACCAGACAGACACGGGAGACCCTTCTTGGATTTTATCGGATTCTAGGTTGTCTAACTGACGCTGGATGTCCTCAAGCTCTGCAGGACATCCAATGTCCGTAAAATCCCCAAAGTAAAGCATTGATTTAATGCTTTCATATGGGGAGGGCCTTATGCACTCAAATTAGATCCCCATCAGATGATGTTGGAGGAGGCAGAGCACCAAGGGATCTCAGCACTAGAATTGGGTGAATAAAGGGTTTTTAACCTTTCATTGGCCCTTGGGATGGAGGGGATGAGAGGGAATTGAGTACCAGAGGTCACAGATTTGTATTCATAATACTATAGAATCCCTTTAAGCTTCTAATTGGTCCCCAAATTTTTTCATTACTCAAATGAAAATCCCAGGTCAAATAAAGCAATTTCTCAGTATTTGGCAATCTATGGAAATATCAGGAGCTTAGTTAACACCCTCTGTATAAATTATGATTCAATAGAGCAGAAGAAAAATATAACTTTTGGAAGAACATTCGGCTAAAAGAAGCCAATAATGTAGAAGGCACAATCAATACCTAAAGGAATACTATAGGATCAGAACACAAACGTGTATTCCTGACCCTATAGTGTTAAAAAGATCATTTAGGTTGCTTGCTCCCCTTAAAAGTTAAGAAAACGTAACTTATTGTTTGAGCGCTTCATTGTTACGCTGGCGCTGGCCCTGTCTCTGATCCTCCTCTTTGGCTGATATCATCAGAATTGATCATCTCAGCCAATCCAATGCTTTCCCATAGCTGATATTGTCAAGGAGACGTGGCCTGGGTGAGGCCAAACGCTGACCTGGCCAATCAGCATCTCCTCTTAGAGATGCATTAAATCAATGCATCTCTATGGGGAAAGTTCAGCTCCTCCATGCAGAGCGTGCCCCTGGAAGCACCTCTAGTGACCATGTGAGGAGTGGCCACTAGAGGTGTTCATAGGCTGTAATGTAAACACTACCTTTTCTCTGAAAATGCATTGTTTACAGCAAAAAAAACTGCAAGCACTGACTATACTCACCACAACAAATACATTAGGCTGTATTTGTTCTTGTGACTATAGTGTCTCATTTATACCATATAAAAGCACATTTGTAAAATTTCCAATCCACTCCACTAAGATCCTAAAGGAGAAAATAATAATAAATAACAAAAGAAATTTATCCACCTCAAAAATATACTTACACCTTCTATCACGGCACGTAGAGGTAGAAATTTGAGGGATCTTTTATCACCAAGCCATTTTTCAAATGCCACCTCAATTGGTTATTTTAAGAAATATCTATCAATGGGTACTTTTAAGTGTGGACATTGTAGTGCGTGCCCCTTCATTAACAGACAATCAAAGATATTCTCCAGCAGCAGTAATACGGAAAATTTTCAATCTCGTTTTTTCTTTAATTGTCGCTCAATAAGTGTGGTGTATTTGCTCACATGTTCTTGCGGACTAAAATATGTGGGCAAAACTTTCTGCCCCTTTAAGTGTAGGATACGCGAACATGTAAACTCTGTCAAGAGACCGTTAGAAACTCCTGTCTCTAGACATCTCCGAATAGACCATAACAACTCCTCAGCAGGGATCCGATTCACGGGTCTGGAACTTATACCACAACCACCGCGTAAAGGTGGATGGGATACCAAACTAAGACAGAGAGAGGCTTTCTGGATTTACTGCCTGAAGATCTTATCTCCAAACGGTCTAAATGAAGGATTTTCATACACTCCATTTTTCTGACTATAACTCAAGATAGTCCTCACTGTTGATCTCTAAACATTAAGCTTACTATGTACATATATACACATCCCTAGGACTTTATTATGAGTAATAAAGTTCTTTTGTTATTTATTATTATTTTCTCCTTTAGGATCTTAGTGGAGTGGATTGAAAATTTAACCTTGTGATCACTTTCTATTTAAGTGACACCTTTGGTTCTCTACTGTTTAATGTGCCTAGAAATCTGACTTATTTTTGACAGAGATTCTAGACTTGACAAGTTGAACCACCTATTCAGAAACAAAGATTACAGGTTAGAAACAAGCTTTTTTTTTTTACTTATTAAATAGCACCATCTAGTGACAAATTCTAAGAAAGATACTTTTTCCTGTAATGTTTTACATTGTTTCTGATCCTTGACACACTGGTCACTTCACAGTTGTTCTTTTTTCCCTAAATGCTAAACATTCATTATTTTAAACGCAGATTAATTTTGAAAGATACAGCAGAGGTTTCCTTCATGGGGCGGACTGCAGTACGGTAACATGGCTGTGTAATGCAAAAGCAAATACAATCATACAAACTTGCTTTGGTATTACACAATTATGTTACACTGTTGCAGTCCACCCCATATGTACCCTATTAAGGGATAAAAAGTAAAACATTATTATATTATATTAATGAACAGTCTACGCATTTCGTCTGCAAATCAGACTCTCTCAAGACTGGCCAGTCTTCATTGCTTCATTGCCGTACTGCGATCTCAGGACGACCTCTATCTTCAGGTTTACGGTTCCTGATACTGGACAGTTCTCAACGCAGCTACCTGAAGCAGGATCCCACGGGGTCATTGGTGTGCTCCCTTAGCCCGGTGTGCAGTGTGGCAAATAGGGTAAGTTACTATTGGAAGTCTCTGCGTAACACCCTCAGCCTATCTACACTTCCCGGGCGGGGTTTTTCAGCTCCTTGGCCCGTTTTTCTTTTCTTTTTACTAACTTTTGCTCATTTTTATTCTATTCTATTTTCAGGCACTTATCAGCTCCAGCAGAGGGGCCCCTCACTGGAGCTAGATTTATGACTTTTTGGGGGAAACCCTCATTTCTACTAGGTGCCTGTGTAAATTATTACATTTGTATAACCGGTTTGACATGTTTATCTTTGTATCGTGTTGGAAGGCTAGTTAGTGATACTCTAGCTTTCTATATTGTATCCGGCAGCTGTCAGGGATTTTATTTCTTGCTGGTTTTTACCTAGTTACTTTGTAATTTTTGTCTTGTGTTTTTTTTTCTCCTTTTAACTTTGTTTCCAATAAATAGGCACTATATGTATTGCCATATTTTTAAGCCTTAGAGTGTGTCCTTATGTTTTGTCTTGATAATCAGAGTCGTGGCTGATTCTAGTTAACACGTTCATTGCTGAAGTGGTGGACATTATCATATTTATACTTATCTAGCTTTTTATTATTGGAGTGCTCACACTATTTTATTGTTGATCTTTCATCTTTAATAGTCGCTCATATTAGTTGTGAAGCAGCCCACTTTATTTTCTAGTGATATTGTGTTATTTGTATATATTAATTAATACCCTTCCTTTTTGAACCGTTCTTTTGTATTTATATTGGCCTTCTCCTACTTTACCTTTGTGCTCCTTGCTGTCCCTTCCAGCTCCTTGATGTCCCTTCCTGCTCATTTCTGTTCCTTCTCCTTTCTGCTCCTTCACTTACTCAACCTTCCTGCTCCTTGCTGACCCTTCCTGTAGGCTGTCTCCCCAATCCCTCACTTATCTGATCTATAGGCTGCCTCCCCCCCATCCCTCAGTTATCCGATCTATAGGCTGCCTCCCCCCATCCCTCACTTACCTGATCTATAGGCTGTCTCCCCCTCATCCCTCACTTCCCTGATCTATAGGCTACCCACCCTATCTGTAGGTGGTTCCCCTCATCTCTAACTTACCTGATCTGTAGGTGGATTCCCCCATCTCTCACTTACCTGATCTGTATGCTGCACCCTCCCATCTCTCACTTACCTGATCTATAGGCTTTCTCTCCCATCCCCCCTCCCTCACTTCCCAGATCTATAGACTGCCTCCAATACCTCACTTCCCTGATCTATAGGCTGCCCCCCCATGCCTCACTTCCCTAATTTATAAACTGCCCCCTCATGCCTCACTTCCATGATCCATAGGCTGTCTAATGGGTTAAAAAGAACAGATGGTGTTTGCTATTCTGTACCCTGTATTCTGGAATGTTCTGTATAGGGAGACTGGGTGAAGGTTCCTTATATGGGAAGTCTCCTTATGTGGCCAGAGTCTAAATTAAACATTGTGACATAATTTTGCCTATAAAGGAAGAGGACAATAGACCACGTTCTCTTCCTCTGACGATCCGCTCTCCTCTCCTGATGTGTTCCTGACTTGTTGATATTAAGACCACCATTTAAGATCTCTCACTCTCTGTAATGTTGTTAAGAAATACCATCTGTTAAGTATGTTA